CGATCCCGGCCGAGCCGCGCGCCGACAACACTGTCGGACCTCCGCTGAGCCGCGCGCCGACAGTTATCGCCCCCCCCTCCCACCCGATCTCCGCTGAGCCGCGCGCCGACAGTTACCACCGCCCCTCCCACCCGATCTCCGCTGAGCCGCGCGCCGACAGTTACCCGCCGCCCCTCCCACCCTATCTCGCTGAGCCACGCGCCGACAGTTACCGCCGCCCTCCCACCCGATCTCCGCTGAGCCGCGCGCCGACAGTTACCGCCGCCCTCCCACCCGATCTCCGCTGAGCCGCGCGCCAACAGTTACCGCCGCCCTCCCCCCGATCTCCGCTGAGCCGCACGCCGGCAGTTACCGCCGCCCCTCCCACCCGATCCCCGCTGAGCTGAGCCGCGCGCCGACAGCACTGTCGGACGGCCTGCCAGTCAGACGAGCGGGCGGCTCAGTGGTGGGGGCGGTGTGGATTGCCTCAGAGTGGGCGGCTTCAGCTCAGACGGCGCCGCACGGCCTGTGGGACTCCTCTTCCGCCGGCCCGTTCACCAGGCGGCGCGTTATCGGAAGGGGAGGGCGGTCGAGTGATTCTGCCCTTCTCCTCCCCTGGGCATCAATCAGAGCGGTGACGGGCGGTTCTCCTCACTTGCGGGCCCTCGGCAGCCGACCGGGTGCGGAGCCGAGCTCATGCATAAAACATGGACGCTGCATTGACGTCCACCGGAATTTTGTCAACAAGCTGTTGAAATGTAAATGAGGAGTGATTTGAGGAGTTAATGGAAGAGCCTTTATCTGAATGTGCCTCTCTGGCGATAATTCTAGCATAGATTGACAGAACTTGCCATAATGTCGAGATGCTGGCAGTTTGATGAGTCCTGCAGATTCCAATAGAAAAAAACGTCTGTGGGATGTCAGTGACGATTTATTTTGTTTGCATAAAATCTATGATTGTTATGTGTGATTTAGGTTATCAAGGAAAAGGTCGTCTTTTCTTCATGACAGAGGCCACCAACAACATGGGCACTTGTTTTCAACATTTGTGAATGCAAGTGGGCTTTTTGCGGTGTTGGGACAAGCGCGCGTTCTCTCCAAGTGCCTTCATCTTCTATCTTTTTGCATTCATTCTCACGCCCCATGTCTCTCCCCTTAACTACCCCTCTCTCTCTCCCATCATCTTCTTTCCTCTTCCCCCTCTCTCCCTCCCCCTCTCTCTCCCTCTCTCACTCTCTCTCTCCACCCCCCTCTCTCTCTCTCTCTCTCTCTATCTCCCGCCCGAAACCTCTCCGCGGCACTTGAATGTGTGCCGGCCGGTAGCCGTCTGCCGCTAACTGCGGTACGCCGCGTCCCCCCAGGTCTCAACTTCGAGCACGTGCTGCGTCCGCCCGGCCAGCACGCCGGCGCCCGGTCCCTATTACGACGAGTACTTCTCGGGCAACGTCAACCGTCCTGCTGGGCAGCGCCGCCAGCCTCAACTGCCGGGTGAAGCAGGTCGCCAACGCCACGGTACGGGGACGCCGCGGCGGCCAAGGGATGGAAGTTTTGCGGCCGACTGGGCCGTAGGCGGACCGAGTGGTCGTAAAAACGGTCACCGAACGGGCCCGGATCTGCAGAGTGGTATTGGTGGCTGAGGTTCTTGGGCTGTTGTACTGCTCATCGCAAATGAACCCTCCGGACGCTGGACATCTTTGGGAATGTCCGCTGTTGTGACTCAGTGTTAATAACGTGCGCTGTTGTGACTCAGTGATAATAACGTGCGCTGTTGTGACTCAGATGTCAGAGACTGGATGACTTTGGGTAAGCTACTTATAAAATAAGCGAACTGTGGTACGTTGAAATGTTGTGTCGGGGGCAACGCAGCGCACGCGTCTTTTCCCTATACAAAAAGCTGTCCCATTGGTTGTCCACCTCCTCCCTATATTTTCATCTTGTGCGGCAGAAGAGAAAGAAAGCAGCACTACACAGATGTCGTTTCTGCAGCGCTCTATTTCTCAGACCGCGCTTGCCAGGCGCAGCTCCTCGCGGCACGCTCCCAGCCGCGGCTCTCACGGCACGAGGTCGGGTCACGCCATGTGACGTCACTGATTGTCAGCAGACCCCCACGCATCGGCCCGTCTCCCACGCCAGGCCGAGCGGACGGGCCGGGGTGATTGCTCCCGCCGCTTAAGCCCATATGCCGATGGGCCTAGATTACAGGAGCTGGCGGCAGTGCTCCCACGCAGGACACCCCACGCCGGCGCGCGCGGCGCCCGGTCCCCCACGCGGCCCGCTGGCGCGTGCCAGCTGACGCTGCCGACGGGCGGACTGACACCCCGCCCGCCACTGGTGCCGATGAGTGCAGAGGCTCGGCTGGAGCAGCGCTGTGACGTCATCAGTCGGGCAGTGACGTCATCAGTCGGGGAGGGATGCCTGGTGCGAAGAGGCCGCCCCCGACGGGAACTGTAGCGGCGACGTGTTTCTTCATGTAGCCTCATCTATCGCACGGTCCCACCATATCTGGAAATCGGAGTAAGGCCCAAAAATATTATGGAAGATCGGTTGTTGGCTTGAAGCTTTTCGTTCGAGGCTGTTCATATTTGAGAAGTCGAGCAATATTCAAAGTGGTTGCAATGTATGCCCAAGTGTCTAATGTAAGTTACTGTTTTCTATTTTACAGCAAGTATGGTATGCGCATTTCCGTCTGACGGACTGTGGGATGAAGCAGTTCCTTACGGTTTAAATATCTAGGGGGCAGGGAGGCAAACCCGGTCATGTGCTTTTACCGCGAGAAAATAGAACATTGTGAAAGGCGGCTCTTAGGTTTTCCATGAGGTGACGTTTAATGTACGTGTACGGGAACTATGCCACACGCAATATTTCTCACGTTAATCGAAATTTTGACAACAATAATTGTACTCCTTCGTAAAGATGGAGTTGATTGTTAACGCCAACATGGTGGGTGTGAAATGGCGCCGAAGCCGACGCGCCCTTCAGCACCATAACACCACAACCAAACGCCAAATGCTTATGATCAATTATTCATTACGTCCAGGGCAAACACGAAAACTGTCAACAATGTCTCCAAACCGCATCGACCCAGGCTGTCACATTACGGCCCTCAAGCCGGAGTTTCGTCACAGCGGTGCTGGCGATGGCATCAGCTCTGACACGCCGGCGCCGTTAGCCGAGGTCACCCATCATTTCCACAGCACCGCCAGCATGCAATCTGAACAAAGGGACCGATCGCCGGGCTGAGCACTGTTGCAAACACGCTGACTTCACACCCTCTGTAATCGGCTGCTCCGTTCAGGCGGGTGTTGCACGAGCGTCGCCCATTGTCATTGATTAGCGGGCAGCGACCGGCGGGCAACCGTCCCCCAGGGGCTCTGCGGACTGCCGTCACCAGCAGTAAGATGGCTGCACTGGAAACCTGACCCAAGCCACGCGGATCAAAGGATGCAGTCAGCGTCTACCGGCGAAAAACATTTTTGTTTGAAAGCCCATTAAAAGCGGCGGTTTTCGACGCAGTAATGTTTGCCATGTCGTACAGCTTTGATGTGCTGTGCAGTTGCGTCAGCTTAAGTACTGCTGGCGCGTAGCTGAACAGCGTATCAGCTGTTCCCGGGAGGCCGGGCCAAAGAACTTTAACACCGAGACACTTGGATTTTGCACTTGTGGACATAGCCCGGGAACATTTGTTTGCCTAGGCTGAGATGTAAATACAGGTCAGGCGGGAGCTTTTGACGCTAAATACAGAGGGCAGGCTGGGGGAAGTAATTGCAGCAGAGAAGTGCTCAAGTCTTTCTGGAATTTCAAGAATATTGGGTCCTTATGACAGGCCTTCAACCGCAGCAAATGTAAAATAAGTAGACTTGCCCCTAATCCAATGATATAAACAGTGTCACGCCAATAATTCAACGAGCAGCTAGACGCATGTTGTTTTCCAACCTTGAATGTGCTGGTCTTGGGGTCCATACAGGTCAGGCAGCTGTGTTAGGCGACCACTTTCAGCTGTGATGGCAAGGAATGTCTGTTACGGATTACTTTAATATATGTATTACTTTGGATGGCACACTACGCGAAGAAATTATGCACCTTAAATTTCCTTCCGTTGAGAGAAAAGAGAAGGTTTGAGCAGCATTTGTATTACAGAACTCCTGTCGATAAGCTCTTCATATCGGTGGTTATTCAGCTCTCACATGGGCCACCCCGCTCAGGCCGGTCAGTATCTCACCGCTGCCGCCTGCATTCAGCTCTCACTTGGGGCACCCCGCTCAGGCCGGTCAGTATCTCACCGCTGCCGCCTGCATTCAGCTCTCAAGTGGGCCACCCCGCTCAGACCGGTCAGTATTTCAACGCTGCGGCCTGCATTTGCCGACAAAACAGACAGTTCGTCCAAAAAGAAATTCTGTGTTTTGTCTTGGATGAAGCCCATGTGTGAACAGAGCTCCAGCTTTTCAAAAACCTCGTTGAAAGAGGAACATTGGCAGTTTTTTCACCGTCCTTGGGCATGCCCCTCACACCTCATGCCCCTCTTGGATCCGCCCATGCTGACCCCGATCGCTTCTCCTGGGATGTTATCGGCCGGAGCCGCAGTCAACAAATTGCCAAGCAATTTGGCAGACACTTGATTTGGAAATACGACACTCTCGGTGCGAGTTCAAATGGCGACTCGTAAGCCAAACTTCCATGCGATTTATGACACTGGAAGTTAAGTCCTAAAGTCCACCGAATAAACACTGGCCGTAGGTGGCTAAAACGGCAGTGAATCTTGTTGAAGGAAACATGTTTTCTGAGATTGCACGAAAGTAGATGTTTCAATAGGAAATACTAAGGTTCCGGAAAAGAGCCTGGAACGCTGCTCGACAAGCCCGAATTTGGCACACCGAATCTATTTGCGTACGTGTAAAATATGCTCTGATCCGAAAGGTTGTGCTCTCTCTCCAAGGATCATTTCCTCGTCGTTTTAACTGTACGACGATCAGTTTCAAGTTGTTTTCGTGGTGGGAGTGAAACGAACGAGCAATTGGGACGATATGTTCTCGAGTGGTTACGAGTGGGCACTCAACCTCGCCATTGACGTCACCTCCAATCAGGAGTTGGTGTCAACCCTGACACTCTCTGGGTGACAGTCGGTTGTGGGTTGAGTCGGAGACGGTGAGACGCTGGCGGTGAGCGCCCGCGGCACCGGACCACCTTGCGGTCACGGGCACCCGGTCCGGTCACGCGCCGGCCGGTCGGTCGGCCGGGCTAGTCCACAGCGAAAGAAATGCGGTGAAGATCGCAACTTCTTCGTCTGATATGTATCCTCATTTTCCAAGTGTGCTTCTCATCTGGCACCTCGACCGAGGCTAGCCAGCTGACGAGGCCGGATCGCGACCAGGTCACCCCTGCTGGGACAAGGCACTCCGCGGAGAGGATGGCCTCTCGGGTAGGACACACCTTTGCAGGCTTGAGGCTACATGCACGACACTGGTGGCGCCGGTGGGGTCTTGTTCAGGGCCCCGGGGCGGACACTGTGGACTCTCCGCAGTGAAAGGCGCACCCCTGACCTCCCCGTGACCCGGCAGGTGTCATGGATGCGCGCGGCCGATTGTACCGACGCTGCTGTCGGTGGGGAGCTACACCTACACTATGGACAATCGGTTCCGGGTGGAGCACAACCGGCACACCTCGGACTGGACCCTGAAACTCGAGCGGACCACTCACAACGACTCGGGCGTGTACGACTGCCAGATCGGCACGACGCCGCCGCTCACCAGGCACATCTTTCTCACCGTGGTCGGTGAGTACCACACAAGTCCAGGTTCCCTCACCGTGGTCGGTAAGTACAGCACAAGTCCTAGTTTCCTCACCGTAGTCGGTGAGTACTGCACAAGTCTTAGCTCTCTCACCGTGGTCGGTGAGTACCGCACCAATCCTAGCTCTCTCACCGTGGTCGGTGAGTACCGCACCAGTCATGGCTCTCTCACTGCGGTCGGCGAGCACCGTACCGGCTTTAGCTATCTTACTGTGCTGAGGTGCTCACATTGCCCCCAGCTTTCACCAAAGTGGGTAAGTGCCTGCACCAGCCCGAGTTTCTCACCCTTGTGGTGGAGGATGTCCCCCATACCCCATTTTTTGTTTGTTTGAAATTAATACGGAGACCTCAGTTGTACTACGCTTTTGTGCAGTACCACGGTGGCCTGTGCTGAGGGTGGACCACAGGCAGCCGCATCCCTGCACAGAAAGCCGGAGAGGATCCAAGAGGCCCTCACCACCGTCCAAGGTCTGCATGTTCGCGCAAAGCCAGAGTGGATCCAAGTGGCTCTCACCACCGGCCAAGGCCACAGACAGCTGCATGCCTGCACGGAAAGCCGGAGTGGATCCAAGTGGCCCTCCCCACCGGCCAAGGCCCGCGTGTTCGCGCAAAGCCGGAGTGGATCCTAGCGACTCTCACCACCGGCCAAGGTCCGCGTGTTCGCGCAAAGCCGGAGTGGATTCAAGCAACCCTCACCACCGGCCAAGGCTCGCATGTTCGCGCAAAGCCGGAGTAGATCCAAGCGGCCCTCACCACCGGCCAAGGTCCACATGTTCGCGCAAAGCCGGAGTGGATCCAAGCGGCCCTCACAACCGGCCAAGGCTCGCGTGTTTGCGCAAAGCCGGAGTGGATCCAAGTGGCTCTCACCACCGGCCAAGGCTCGCATGTTTGCGCAAAGCTCGTCGCGACAATGCTGCACTCTCTCATAGGGCGGGGACGAATGCACTTTTCCATTACAGAGGACTCCCGGACCATGAGCAATGAGCACTTCCGAGGCGGCCATCTATCTGTTCCTCTTGGATAGCCATCCATCCTTCTTTGGTTGGTCTTTACCGTGGCATGCAATCAGCTGTAATGGCTCTGCCAGTCAGTGGAACTAGGTTATTTGGGGGGAATTGGTGTAGACAGACATTAAGTACACCATACGCGTTGGATGAAGGAAACAAGCAAGCTGTGAAAACCGTCATTTCCTCTGGGGGTTTGTCCATTGCTGATCCCCTCACACCCATACTAATTATTCATAGGCGATCGCGCCTTACGCCCGGCACTGGAAGCGGGCGAGGTTGGGGGGCTGATAAATCGGTTCGAACCTAACGCACCCATACTGCCTCCGGAGATTTCCACGTGATTAACAGTACCAGAAACCTCAGTTCCATTCGGCTGTTGCTATCCGCGCTGCAGATCAGCCCACAGCCCACTAATGCCAGCACCAGAGATTCGTTCTCCTTACGATGGAACTCAGCGCCGGAGAGCGGTCCCTCGCCAACGTCTTCAACGCAGGAAAACCGACATCGTGCCAGAGCAGTAAATCAAACCACCAGCAAACCAACCCCACAGGCCTGTATCTGCTGATCCTCAAATCCTGGCATCAGAGAGCCATCAAACGCACCGGTCCCAGCCACCGGGAAAGAGATTTACCACACCCATCAGCACCGTGGCTGAGCTCCCCGGTGCCGGCTCGGGGCCGGTCCCACCCGCCGGTAAGGAGACTTACCAGAGCCACTAGCACCGGGGCCGAGCTGTCCTCGGGCGCTGGCTCGCTGCGTGAGCACAGCCGACGGTGTTTCCACTCCTGCCATGTCCACATGTCCACATCCGTTGCCTGTGGCGGGACGGCAGATGCGGTCTGCTGCTGGCCCGGTGGCGAGGGGCCGAGCGGCCCCGGTGTACCGCGGTCCGCTGCCGGCTCGGTGGCGAGGGGCTGGGTGGCTCCGGTGTGCCGCGGTCTGCTGCCGGCTCGGTGGCGAGGGGCCGAGCGGCCCCGGTGTGCCGCGGTCCTCTGCCGGCTGGATGGCGAGGGCCGGGCGGCCCCGGTGCGCCGCGGTCTTCGGAGACCACTCTCGGCCGGCATTCGGACGGTGCCGACCGCGCTATTGCCGCAGTTTGTTTGGATTTGGCCGGAGCACGCCGCCGCGACGCAGCGCTCAGGGACAACAGAGCACGGCTGAATAATTGCGACCCACCTGGTTCCGACAGCGCGGATACCTCTCCATAGCCGCGCTTAATTCGGCGGGCGAACTGAGAAGGAAGAACAGAGATGCGGAGTGGCTGGCTGATGGTGAGCAAGGTAATCAGTCGTCGGAAAGCCTTGTCCCATTCTGCCTGGCTTTGGCAAGGCAGCGTTGCCAATCCGGTTGCTTCATTTACCGTGAGGCGAAGAGAATTCCACCTGCTGAGCTATTGCCTTCAACAAACCACATCCCATCGGAACGCCGAGCTGTCGGCAAGAGCAGGCAGTTATAATTTCGGTCTTACTTTTGACATCCAGAGAATACGGGCGGGTCAGAAGATGTGGACGGCAGTCAGCCGTGTGCTGTGGCTGAGTTGGTTTCTGCAGCATTCGCTGCGGAACAGCGATGTGCTAGGTCGGAGATGGCTGCCTCAGTGACAGATACGTTTCCATCCTCTTTCGCTTATCGCTATAATATCATAGATATCGGGATCAATGCACGAGTTTCGCAACCATTTCCGTTGGTTATCGCTTGGAAACGACCGCAGCATGCTGATCGCTGTCGTTTCGAAAAAAAACTACGGCCATTCGTTTTGTCACTTTTCAACGATTCGCAATGTGAACTGATAATGCCATATGGTTTCTTGTGTGTGCTACTGTAACAGAAAGGCTGGCGTGGCTAGATGCTGCATGTACGTGTTCTGTGCATGCACGCATGCCAATACCGCATCACGCGTTGCTGAAGGGCATCTCGACATGAGGCATTCACAAGGGCGCCGGAAGCTAAGCCCAAATCATTCAGATTCGTTCTGCGTCAAGGAACAAGCGAGTCATGACAGGTGAGAGAATCAAAATAGTCATCATGATTTGATTTTATCATGATGATAAAAAATCAAGATTATCATCATGATATCGCATCACCTCATTCATCCACTCCGGTTGCCGAGAGCTGACATCCAACCCTTACTGAACCCGTCTTAGGACCCGCTGTTCCGTGGTCTGTCATCAAGCTGGCGGGATGATACGCACCGATCCATGTCCTGGCTAATGGGATTGTCCGTTCTCTCAGCTGTCAAAATGTGTTAGCACCTTGCCACTGAGATGTCGGGTCGTCAAAATCTAGGTGTGACATCCAGCCATAGTCTTCTGGGTTTTAACATTAAACAAATTCTACGTTTCTCGTGTTAACCTAATAAGCAGCGTTTTAAGCCAGTGCTGCAAGGATCATGCAGTGTTGCAGTGATCATGTCTGCTCATGCTTATAGTTTGCGCGCAGAATGCCTCCATACAGCACGACTTTTGAGCATTGCGCTGTTGCTGACACAATGAGACATGCATGGGACTGGGCTCCTTGCTCACACAGTGAAAGCCATTGCTCACCCATCCCGCTTGTAAGCAATCGGGATGGCCGGTCCAGGCCGGGTCCCTCAACTCAACAGATTTTCCACTGCCGAACTAAGACCCGCAGGACCTTCAGCCCCACCCGAAGCCAGTCGGGAACATGCGGTAGACATATTCCAGCTCGATCGCGACTACCAGCGGCTCTAACCTGCGCGAAATTAAAGGGCGTTTTACGAGATGGCCATCGACGCCGTGACGGGAGTGAATTGGGCCCGGTGATGTTCTCACCATTGTTCTGGAGCGTGTAGCTGGCGCCGAAGCACTTCAGACTGTGGGTAGATGAAAAGCCAAGCACATCATGTGACATTATGACACAATGTTTTGTCGTCGATATCAGATGTCGTCGGTACGCCACTGTATGAGTGAAATTGGAGCCAAGCATATTTGTAGTGCGTGGCACCGGTAAGTTGCACCGCACATAACAGAGTTTTAGAGCCGTATCCCAGATATCGGGTTGTTTATCGCCTGCACTCACGAACTTTGCTTTTACAAAAGTGAATGCAGTAATGTTCATTAATGATGCATCTTTAAATATGAGGGATGTTGGAACATTTCGCTGAAGTCGTTAGAAACAATAGACCCCGCGCCCAGCCATTCATTTTGTCTCGCGCCGATCAAACGGGTCGAGCCAGTCACATGTCATCCTCGAAATAGCTCTCAGCCGGCCGTTCTGGGAGCGAAGCATGCAATGACTCCGAAACAATTCTCGTTGAGGTTGGCTCGTGCATGCTGAGCAGTCGTTTCGCAGCGGTCGAGTAGAATGATTCGAGCGCTCGTTGACTCCCGCTGTATGGGGAGTGCGGTCTCGCGCCGGGATGGTCGCACTGCGCGAGCTCCGGCGGCTTCACATGCGGGCGCTTCTAAGGATTGTGGTTGGCCAACCCAAGGTACGCGGTACCGTAGGTAGAGCTCTGTACTTATCTAATACAGGCCCCTTCCCTCTGTTCTTTTGCCCTAACAAGGGCCCTGCGGACGCTGCGTCGACAAAAATGACTGCAAATCCGGACGTGCCGCCCCCCTTCTCCCCCCTCCCCCCCCCCCCCCCCCCCCCCCCCCCGTTTGCCATCGGTGGTAGGGCGAAATTTCACCTCCACTCAGTATAAAGCTAAGCAAAGTAAGCAATAAATGGAACTTATGTGTAAGTTAGTGGCGCCTTATTATTTTGCATCTTGTAACTTCCACCTCATAATCCGCATTAAACGTATTTCCTTGCTTCCACTTAACTTGCATTACATGAAATGGTGTTGTGGAGAAATTCTAAACTATCTCGCGTTAAATTGGGGCAAACAAGGCCGTTTATCTTCAACAATGCGCACGACTACTCCGAATTACTCGCAAACAGTTTCATAAATACTCTCGTCATCAGATAAGCTTCGCTCGCTGTGCTCGTGCTTTCTGCGCGCATACAAACCGAGCAGCTCACATCATTACAGTCGAGTGTCTTCAAGTGTCAGCAGCTTGAGATGTCATCCCATGCCATCTCCTCATCGCAGAACACAGTCGGCATTCACAGAGGCACCAACAGCGCCCACTATCTGTGTTTTCGGCTGTTTTTTTGTTTTACGAGCGCGGCCAGGACGACGCAAACGAAGACAGACGGCTGGTATGTCTCGACTCCGGTCGACTGTTGCCCTGTCGGTGAAATCGACGCGGAACGGCCGGGGCGCGAGCACCACTGCACGTCTGTTTACAAGGCTGCAGACGGAGATTTACGCGCCGGCTTTGGCCCGAGTCGCTCGTCCGCGTCAAATCCCAGTCCATTCCTTCAGCTCGATCAGAATACACAGCGCGCCCGGCGATGGGAGGCGGAAACGGTTCCGTAGTCGGGCCCGGCTCTACGCTCGGTGAGCGCAAAAAAGGAATGGTGCTTGAATGGTCAACACAAACCGGCCATTCATCTCCCAATGATTGCCATAGCTTGCTAAGTGACGCCCAGTGGTTCATGTTGTTGAGTCCATCGGGAGTTGAGTCCCTTGTTGAGTGCATCGGGAAAGTTGACGAGACAGACTGCACCATCGACGTTAACTGCATGTACTTGAATGATCACATGGCGTGTAACGCGCGGTGCCAGGTCGACACAATTCTGCATGCAGCCACCCAGAGAACGGCACCTGCGCAAAGCACGGTACCCAGAGAGTTTCCGCTCTCCATATGCTCGCCATTGATCTGCATTAGAGGCAACATGCGCTGGCCCGTTCTTTGCACATCCCAAATTCATACAACCTCGACTGCGCGAGGAGCGTGACCAGGTGCGCGCCGCACGTGGCGCCGGCCAGCCGTGACGGTCGCGCGTGCCGTTACAGAGCCGGACACGGAGATCCTGGGCGGTCCGGAGATCTTCATCGACCAGCAGAGCACCATCAACCTGACTTGCGTGATCGAGCACGCGCCCCAGCCGCCCGACTTCATACTCTGGGAGCACGACAAAAAGGTGAGGCATTGGTGACCGAGCGGTGTTGTCATCACGTGGGACCCCGCCTGACGATGGCCGGGACGCGCCGGTGTGACGTCACTGCAGGCGGATGGACTGGCGCGTCTGCAGCTGTGCTCAGATGATCCAACGTGTCCGCGGCCCTGCTCAGATGGTCCAACGTGTCCGCGGCCCTGCTCAGATGGCCCATTGTGTCCACGGCCTTGCTCAGATGGCCCAACGCGTCTGCAGCCCTGCTCAGATGGCCCAGCATGTCCGCGGCCCTGCTCAGATGGTCCATCGTCATTATCCGCCGACGATCGGGCGCCTCTTACCCCCGCCGTCAGACGACCATGTGCGTCCGTTTCCCGTCCCCAGACGATCAACTACGACTCGGAGCGGGGTGGTGTTAGCGTGGTGACCACCAAGGGCCGCACGACGGTCTCGCAGCTGCTGATTCGCGCCGCTCGGCCGCCCGATAGCGGGCGCTACACGTGCCGGCCGGCCAGCTCCAAGCCAGCTTCCGTGCGCGTGCACGTCCTCAAAGGTGGGCAGAGCGCCCCGCGCCCTGGCAGCGCCGCGCGTCGAGTGGAAGGGGGGGGGGGGAGATGGAGCGGCTTAGAGCGCGGTGAGTGGGAAGTGAGCTAGGTGCAGACAGGGTGGGGGTGGATGGGACGAAGGTGAGCGGGATGATTCGGCGCCAGAAGGTATGGGGCTTGTCGACATAACCAGTAGTGGGTCAGACTACGGCCCGGCCCGGACCTAAATCGGAGCCTACTGCGGCCCGGCCCGGACCTGAATCGGAGCCTACTACGGCCCGGCCCGGACCTAAATCGGAGCCTACTACGGCCCGGCCCGGACCTAAATCTGATCCTACTACGGCCCGGCCCGGACCCAAATCGGAGCCTACTACGGTCCGGCCTGGAATCGAGTCCAGTTTTTTGGAACTCGGTCTCCGGTGAACCGATCAGGTAAATCAGTCTTCATCTCGGAATCACAAACCAAAGAAACAGCGGATTCGGACACGACCTGAAACCAAGCCTGAAACAGCGCGAGTCAAGCCTATACCCAAAGATACTGAAAACCTCGAACCCAGACTCGGACACCCAACTTAACTTGCGTGCTTCAGGCATTGGGTTGGACAGGTTTAAATTAGCTTCGATGAGTCCAGTTGAATTCCGTTCGGCTTTCAGGGCTCACTGTCAGCTCACGCAGGTGTAGCTTTTCTGATGCTGATGACTTCTCTGGCCACGGTGTTCTGACGCTGGCATTGCATTAAGTTAGGTTACAGGCAAGACGTAGGCCCGGGCGCAAGCAATCCGCAAAGATTCCAGCGTTGTCACCAAGAAGGCCTTGTTTCAAGCGAATCAGCGCATTTCACAGGTTATTGGGACCTTGAGCTGGTCAGTTTAAAGATATGGCGAAAACGGGGTCGGGGTTCCACTCAAAACACAACGTAACGTGGATCGAACTAAGATTTGCTGACGGGCTCAGCAGGGGAGGGTTCAATGGAGGCATGCTCCCCAAAACAGCGGAACAGGCAGATCTGCTCTGCGTTGCGTTTTCGGGTGACTACCTGCTTGACGTGGTATGACATTTGGAACTTAATCCCGAAAAATGCTCGGTCCACCTTCACTCAGATGCAGAATATTCCGAATATCTAGAGCTGTAATGTGGGCTTAGGCCAAAACAAAAATTAAGAACTACTCAACTTGTGGCAAAACCAAATTACCATGACCTCATGACCTTACATAACCTCAAATTCTGTGAAAGGGCCTGTTGCATCGATTGGGAGTCCCTGGGACAGTCCGGGCCTCTTTTTTTTGACCAGAGACCACAAACACCGCACACTCGGCTACGTGTCGGTCTGAGCCCTGAAGGCACATTTGCCAAGCACGAGCAAGGCCGAGCCCGCGATTTTCATGGGTCGGGGTCACTGAAACAGCGAGTGTGTCGGTCAGGGAGCCCACAGTGTTTAGCAGGGGATGCTATGTCGTCAAGTGGCGCGGGTCGCCACGAGCCGTGTGTGCGGGATTCCGAAGAGCGGCCCGAAGGATTCCTCGCAACCTAAGGTTAAGCGCCCGATAGAGCTCGGGCCCGGACCCCATCGGTAGTGCCGTGATCTGAAATGTCAGGGACCCTGTTAGGGACTGTGGTCCCTGATCAACACAGGAGCCTGTCATTGTGTCAGGGGCCATTAGGGACCCATCAGGGCTTCTACCAGGGCTCTGTTATTAAGTTTCTCTATCTTTATTGTATAGGGCCTCGACGCAGAGTCAAACAGTCGGCTCCACGCCCGTCTGAGTCATTGGGACCCATTTCCCACGCTGAAACGGGGCCGGGGGAGCGACATCCAAGAAATTGTCCGCGGGCCGCTGGCATGGCGCTGCCAGTAGTTAGCACATGGCGGGATGTCGCTGGCAGCCGCTGGCACAGTGCAGGCTGCTGGAGGGATGTCACTGGCAGCCGCTGGCACGGTGCAGGCTGCTGGAGGGATGTCACTGGCAGCTAGAGGGCCGTCACTGGCAGCCAAAGGGACGTCACTGGCCGCCGCTGGCACGGTGCAGGTCGCTGGAGGGTCGTCACTGGCAGCCGCTGGCATGGTGCAGGTTGCTGGAGGGTCAGCGGCGGCAAGTGACGTCACTGGCCGCCACAGGGACGTCACTGGCCGCCGCTGGCGCGGTGCTGGCAGCCGGAGGGACGTCGCTGGCAGCCGTAGGGACGTCAGCGACAGCTGGAGGGACGTAACTAGCCGTCGCTGATACGATGCTGGTAGCTGGGGGGACATCAGTGGCAGCCGGAGAGACGTCGTTGGTAGCTGGAGGAACGTCGCTGGCCGTCACTGGTGCAGGAGCGATATTTTTGGCAGCCAAAGGAAAGTCACTGGTAGTCGCTGGCACGGTGCTGGTAGCCGAAGGGACGACGCTGGCCGCCGCTGGTACCGACGAGTCGCCCACCAGGGGCGGAGCCGGCACGGGGCTGGTAGCTGGAGGGACGACGCTGGCCGCCGCTGGTACCGACGAGTCGCCCACCAGGGGCGGAGCCGGCACGGCTGCCGATGTGCTGTGGAGAAGAGATATCGTGATATTAGGATACACTGGCAGTAAGGTGCACAAGGCTCAGCATGGCAGAATACCTCATACCATCACCACCACCAGCAGTGATGTCATGCCAGCAGATGGCTAAGAAAGCGCAAACCTCAACAAGCAGTATCATGTCACTAAGAGGAGGTGCTCTTTCATCATGGGTGCATATTGCCTCTTTTTCATCTTGATTGCGAAGCCTTACATTTAATACTAGTTAATTTCACCTTTGTTCACAAGCCACACTTGTGTTGTGAAAATTATGTCAAGTTAAAGTGAAGACCATGCCAGCATTTTTCTTTATTTTTGCCAACAATGTCAAAAGTAACTTAACAGTCCAACACTTGCCCAAATGTGTTCACTTACCGCCAGTAATCTAAAGTAGATCTACATGAACCGACCAGTTCAGATTGCTTCTTTCTCTTCCGCTCTGCCCTAAACTGTGCACCTGATCTTCCTCGTTCCTTCTTTTGAAAAGCCATCCTGAAGCCAAACGAGTACCGCATAGGGAGATGAAGTTGAATCGTTTGTTGACAGCGTGTTCCCACCAGGGGCGCAGCCACGGTTGGGCGGAGTTCACTAGGGGGCTAACCGGTCTGCATCGATGTGGCTCCCTCGGCGTCGGCAGATGTCTCTCGCCCCCAGTTTTTTGGAAGATGGCTCTTGCAGGTGTAATGGCTGGAATGGGCCACTTAAGAGTTTCAAACGGACACTTCTGAAGTTTAGGATAGGCCTTTTTGCAGCATGAAATCGGCCCTTTTCTGTGTACGACAACTCGATAGCCCTCTCAGAGCTCGAATTGGCCTCTCAAGAACTTGAAAAGAGCAGCAGCAATATGCTCTTTTTCTACTTAAAATAAAATGACCCTCCCCGGCGCCCCAGAGTGGAACACACCGAAGAGTGGCGAGGGAAGTAAGTCCCCTTCGCCGCCTAGCTGTGTATTCGATTCTCATAATACATGCAGCATAAATATTGCACACGGTATGCCCAATGGATCCCTTATGTTCCACACCCGATCGATTGTACTGAAGCACCATTTCTGACTTTCGCGCAACCGACGAAAGTCCAAAAGCAGCGGTATTGGAACTACTTTGGCTTTCACCAACCGCCCCCCCCCCCCCCGGACCTTTTTCAGCTTTGGGCGGCTTAAGCGGCGTGGGAGCGAGCTGTTCAATCAGTAACTAGACGTGTTTCCCTACGGCATGTGCCGGTAAAGCCCAAAATGACGCTTTTTTTGGATGCACGACGGTGCAAGTCCAGATGTCCGAGGCCTAAGAACTTGGTATCTTAAATCTGTTCCTGCAAGCACTGTATCCCTGCTCACGGAAATAGTAAATGTCTTTTCCAGGACAGCTGTCCGCTCCATTCGCGGGCCGCCTTAGCCCGTAATCCACGGTCTGTTCTGTCTTTGGAGGCGGTGGGGTGACTTTTTGGACCATTTTATGTACCCCCCGGTGGTTGTAATGACGTGCATTAGATGCAATGTGCTTCATGCATTGGCCTTCCTCTCGCCCCTCCCCCCCCCCCCCCCCACCGAGCGGCCACCTTCTCGGCTCATTTTCCCAGCAACAGCTTCGCCCCTCAGGCCCCGAATCAGGTGACGGTTAATGCTTCTGCGTCTGCGTTAACCACTGCGCGTCTGGGAAACCAGAGGTACGGGAGGTCTACATCGTGCTTTATCTGTATACATAGGTAGTTGGTGCTAGGAAATACTCGCTAGCACCGGGCAAGGTAAGCAGTTTGAATTCAAAGAACCATGGCGCTCGCCGCTTGATTTTTACTGGCTGTTACACCAATGAACAGACGACGAAGGAAACTTAGCATTCTTAAGCAGATGGGTACCAGTGCTATGCAAACATGTCTCATCACGGCCAATTTCAAGGAACTGCGACTAAAAATAGAGCCAACCGCCGTGTTCCGAGTCCTGTTTGTGAAGCAGTGTTCCAGCCTTGTTGACGCCGCTTGGTCGTGTCGTGCACCATCATCTCCGGCGACTGTCGCTTGACGACGAGCATTAACGCGTAGGAACTGCTCGAGAAGCCTTTGTTCATTGTCTTATCACGTAATAAAAGCTGACGCAGCCATCGGGACCGCTCACCTTGCGCTGCCACGCGGCCAACTCAGCCCCCCCCCCCTTCCCCCCCACCACAACCCCCCCCCCTCCACGACCGCCCTTCTTGAGATGGCTTTGAGACGGACTGGTGCTGCGGCAGTTTAATTCAGCTGCATACTGTCAACTTTTCATTCATTCATATGTGATGCCTTACCGTGAAAGAGGGATGATATCATCCTCCAGGGGCCGCCGCCGGTTACTGGGGCGCCAATGCTTACGCATGGTAAAGGTCGCAGGTGAGGTTCTAAAAGTATATTGTCGTTTATTATTTGTTTTGTATTCTGACGAGCAAAGCCTGCAGGAGAGATGGCCCCGAGTCGCCTGGCCTGGCAGGTATCCGGACACTTTCTGTCATTACGCTACGCCTGAGGTGCTATTTTAGCCCCATGGCACGTAATACTGCGGTGGTGGGGCGGAATCTCTGCCACTGAACTGCCGGAGTACGGGACTGAGCGTGACATACGGCAGCGGACCGTTGTATGAGCGTGGTTCGCGATGGTGCTAAAGTGCAGGCAGCACAAAGACGGGAGTTTCATCGTCACACGTATTCAATTTCCTCTGTCATGCTAGGAGCTATAGGCTCCATCATGCCGCACGGACGCCTATGAATCTGCAACGTCTTGCCTTAACCCGCGCTCGGGTGGAGGGGGTCAAATTGATCCCCGCCAAAGGTTTTCCCAGAATGGTTTCCGACCGGCGTGGCGCAGCCGCGCCAAATTTTGCATAGCTGTAGACAATGAAGAGCGGATCGTCTGATAGAAAAAAATTTAGATGTGCCTTGTACGATCGCTGACCTATGGCAGGTCAAAGTCAGGCCATGGCTTCAGCGAAAACAATTTCTAGGGAGTCGTCCAGTCTGATGTAATAACGGAGTGTTAGACGAAGTCATACGTCTCTGAGATGCTTCCTTAGGCACCAAAAATATTGGATGAGCAAATAACGTTGACATAAGGTCAGTTATAAAGGTCAAACCAAGGTCAAAACCAACCTAATTTATTACTCTAGGGCTTGCTGTATGGAATAGTTTGTGGTACTCATTTCGAATTTATTGACAACAGGAATCGCA